TCTTCACCTCAATTGTTCATTTTCCTTCCGGTTTGATTTGCTTATTATCTCTAAGTCTAACTTTCAACTTGTAAGTTTCATCAATATATCTAAATATTAATTTTAAGCCTGACATATTATTAGAATATCCACTGTCAAAAACCAAATATCATTTGATACATCATAAACTTATGATCGACTTATAAACAACTTACTATTTTCTTCATTTTCCTCAACATAACTTGCTTGCTTTTCTCTTTTCCAACAAAGTATCTTCGTGTGACCAAATTTTTTACAATAGTGACATTGAATTCCACTCTTTTAATTTTTTTTTATCATAATTTGATTACCTTTATTCATCATGTCTATCAAAATGTCTTCTTCCTCTTCCTTTTTCATTTCCTTTACCACGAAATCCTCCTCTACCACATCCTCTTCCTGCTGATTTTTTATTTTTTTAAAGTAGAAGACTCCCCCTTAACTTGAAATGCTTTCTCTTCATTTTTTTCAAGTGACCTGTTTAACATTGCTTCATGTGCTTGCAAGGAACCCATTAGTTCATCAAATGAAAATGTAGATAAATCTTTTGACTCCTCAATTGCGGCAACAACATGATCAAATTTTAGAGTTAAACTTCTCAAAACTTTTGCAACAATTATATAATCAGGAAGATGTTCACCGTAAGATTTCATTTGACTAACAATTTCAGTCACTCGAGAAAGAAAATCTTGCACTGATTCATTGCTTTTCATGAACAAAATTTCAAACTCACGACGAAGGGTTTAAAGTTTTATCGTAATCACCTTTGACGAACCTTGAAATTTATTTTGAAGGATCAACCAAGCTTGTTTTGAGGTTGTCGTTGTTGCAATTCTCGAGAAGATTGTCTCATGTACAGCTTGTTGAATGAAGAACAATGCCTTTGAGCCTTTCTTTCTATTCTCTCTCAGACTGATTTCGTCATATGGATCTGCATATTCATTCTTTATTAAGTCCCAAAGATCTTGAGACTTGAATAGAGTCTTCATCTTGATATTCCAAAATTCATAGCATTTACCCGAGAAGATGAGAATAAGGGGTTAAGACTTGAAATTATCATTAAAAGTCATAATGTCCAGTTTAAATTGAAACTTGGCTCTGATACCATTGGGGATGGAGGATCAAGGAAATAAAAAAAATAAAATACTATGATATAAGTAAAAGAATCCTTTCGATCAAGAAAATCGATGTAGTATTTAAAATAAGATGATTGACATAGAACACTTACAAGATATTCCCAAATATATTCTCCTTTCTATCTTACTTCATGAACTATGACCCTATTTATAGGACATAGTGATAACTACCTCACTCCACTATGTCACCCATGAGTGAGGTAGTTATAAGAATCACCCTATAACTTCTAGATTATGGGTCATTTCTTGAAACATGTCTAAAACTACTAAAAATATTGTAACTACCTAGATAACTACTATAAATCAATTCTTAACAATATTTACAATGATTTCACTTGGATTCACACAAATCTCGATACAATTGGGATCAAACGCTTCATATTTATATGTCCATAACTTGGTCGCGCTCGACGATGATCTTACCAGTGGCATGACCCTCCATGATCTTTGCCCAAGCCTCCTCCGCCTTGCCCAGTGCGTATCTCGAGTCGATCACCGTCCTAAGCTTCCCTCCCTTCACCAGCTCAACCAGGAACTGCAAGTCCTCCTTCGTCGCCATCGCGAACAGCAGCACCAGCTTCTTATTCGAGCAGGTCAATTGCTTCAGAGCAGAACGAAGGAACCCCCCCGGCGAAGGATTGAGATCGACGACCTTCCCGTGAGCTGCGAGGTTGGACTCCAAGCTGGACCAGCCAACGCTGGAGGTGCAGTGCACGACGATGTCGTACTTCCTGCCCGAAGGGCTCTTCAAGCTCTTGCCTTCCGGGGTCTTGTAGTCAAGCACCTCATCTGCGCCCAGGCTCCTCACCAGCTCCATGTTCCGGGCGCCGCAGGTGGCGGTGACATGGAGGTTTCCGAGCTTGGCGAGCTGGACGGCGAACGTCCCGACACCGCCAGAGGCGGCAGTGATGAGGACGTTTGCTGGATCGCCGGTGCCGTCGAACTTGGTTGTGGCGTACCTTAGCGCCTGTAGAGCACTACAGGCCGCTATAGGCAGACCCGCAGCGCCTTCGGCTGATACTTCAGGTGGAATGTGTGCCGTAACGTTTACTGGTGCAATAGCGTACTCCGCGAGTCCACCTGCTTTCTGACAGTATACGCAGCTTAAAGGTTAACTCGAATAGCTCATTGGACATGAACACAGGAGAGAGAGAGAGAGATGCAAGCAATCCAAAGTCCACCACAGAAATAGAAGAAGAAAAACTCTTATATGATCATATGCATCAAGCAGTACAAAACTTTAGTGATATGAACAGAGAAAGATGGCAAAATCAGAGAACGAGAGAAGCTCATTTGACATGAACAGAGAGAGGCAAAGCAGTCCAAGGTCTACCTGAGAATTATGCCAGTTAATTTCCAAACATATGAACATAATCCAAGCCAGAAAAGAAGAAGAAGGCTTAGAGCTCTTACAAATCCAAGCCACGTGACCACCTTGTCTCCTGGCTTGAAGCCATCCACGCCAGGTCCAACCTCAACAACTTCTCCTGCAACATCCGATACTGTCGACCAAACATTTTACAGGACTCAGTTTCTGATCCTCTACATCTAAAACAAGTAGCAATTCAAGAGAATAACATCTGCACGGGGAGAGATGAAGCCTCGAGTGCAATCCAGTGCAGATGTTGATGGAAGTGGGATGTGCACCTGGAACAAATGGAAGCTTGGATGGCAGAAAAGGCCGCATCATTCCCTTCTGGATTTTCCAGTCGGCTGGGTTCATGCTTGCTGCTTCCACTCTCAGGAGCACCTCGTCCTTCTTGGGTGAAGGAACCTGGATCTCAACATGCTGAAGCCAAAAATGCAGCACTTCAATCAATCATGTCGCTTTCATGAAGCTTACAAACGATGGATGGTAACAGAGACATGTCGGATTTGTGGTGCAAACCATCAAATCTTCTTTAGACAACGTCAAACCCTCCCTTAAATCTTCTTCACACTCTACTGACATGTTTACTCTACCTTTGACCATGAGATGAAGCAAACAAACGGACTAGCATCAGAGGAAAAGCTTCAGGTGCAGTGTTGCAACCGAGATTCTATGACATGTACATATAGGTTCAGTTCAGCTTCCTCAGAAGAGCATGGATCTATTTGTTGAAGCCGAAGGAAACGTGATCGAGAGAAAAGGGAGAAGAGGAGAGAGCACGAGAGGGCATCGGGAAGAAGGTCGTACCTGGAGAGCGGCGGCGCCACCGCCGTAGCCGCCGTATTGCACGGCGCGCATGGTTCTTGCGGCCATGGCAGGAGGAAAGCCGGGCGGAGATTGATGGGGCGTTCGCTGGCGGTGGGCGGAGATATTTCTAGCGGCGGAGCGCTCGGCGAAATGACGGAACTGCCCTACCGCTCCACGTAAGTTCGCACGTCAGCCTGACCAAAGAGCACGACCGGCGAGGGCGAGGACTTGGCATGTTCTGCCCACGTGGCAAATTGGCCGCCATCCTCTCCGTACGCGCCCGCCTTGACCGCCGGGACGTGTCACGTGAGTCCGTCCCCACGTGGGACCCACCCTCGCCGGCAGTAAGGCAAACGTATCGTTAGACACGGTGGATGGTTCAGGCATCATAGCGCTCACTTAATCGCCTAACATAAACCATACACTGCCTCGATTAAGGAGACTTAATGTTCATTAAGGAGTGTGACATGTCAACACAATATGGTAAATGAAATATGAGCTACTCGGATGTCATGTTGTGGTGCCGTAATCCTCGGGCCGCCTCCTCTCTTAACAAAGCAGGAGTAGGTGACATGATGACATTTGTGTGCAATCATCTTGAAGATGAAGCAATCAATCAATTGGTGGTTGACCAGTCAAAATTGATTCCTCATTATCCATAGGAAATAATAATAATAAATGAAATCAAGATAGTGAGCCATGAAATGGTCAAACCTCCATCAAAGATCGAGAAAAAAAGTTTTGGATCACTCTATTATTTTATTAATCTTTTATTTTAAATTTTAACATGGTGCTCTAGTCAAAGTTTACTCAAAAAATAAATGAGTCAATGAAATAAGAAAATCACAGATATGTTAGGAAAATATCTAATATCTAAGATGAATCGGATGACATATATTATTAGATTTCATCGATGCTATATGTTGATTCTTATTCGTTTGGCTCGACAAAAATCATAGTCTCAAATTAATGAACTCGAGGTGGTACGGTTGAGTTGGACCGAGATGAAGTTCAACGTTGACCCAACCTAACACCTATATTATCTCGATCTTGCCTTCCACTTGACCTTGTGATTGAGATTATTATTATTCTTTTTTATCAACTTTGGCTTGGTGTTAGATTTATGTGGTTGGAGCTCACATCATAAGATCAAGATGGATTATATTGGGTTAGAAAAAGGTCAAGTAGTAGGCCTAAGTTAAGAACTCTCAGCCATCGATTTCTGTCATAAAAATGAGTTGGTAGGTAAATGTAGAATCCAAATGTTAATACAGTTTTAATATGTGGTATTTTATTATATGCATGTCACAAAAAGGAGAAAATGGAACAGTAAGTGAAGAAGATTATCTCCTATAACCAAGCTAAGATTCCATCCTTCCAAATCTTGGCATCATTAGAGAGCATTGACCAATATAATTACACACTTAAATCTTGTCCTTTTTCTTTGACCAGATTCTACTTCTCTTTCTTAGTTATCCATACACCTAACAAGAGAATACAGAATTAATAGGCCAAAACTTGACCCACTTAAAAACAAATCAAGAATTATATTATTAAAATAACAATTGTCTTTTGGATCTTTCCGAAAAAAAAAAATAGAGAGACGAACTAAGTGTCTTCACCTATGTTCCTTAGTTTTTCTTTTGCGTTTGTAATGAAGAATTAGTATTGGAACACTAAATTTGAGTTTCTCTTTTACGTTTGTAATGAAGAATTAGTTTTTCTTTTACGTTTATAATGAAGAATCAAAATCATAGGATACTTGAGAGGAACACTAAATTTGAGTTTCGAATCTTGTGATGATCTAATTCTTTATCGGGTAAGCTAATCAACGTGCTTTATATATGCATCAATTTTGCTAAGAATTAGAAAAAAAAAATTATTAGAGGAGTTGTTTTTCGTCTGAAGAATAAGAAATATATGGTTTTTTTTTTTTGAACTTTGAGTTCTTAATAGTTTTTTTTGTTGGTGGGGGGATGAAAAGTTGATACTACAAAGTCCTAACACATATGAGGCTCTTCATCTCTCTATGAAGCCGATGTAATAGGCAAAGCTTTCTTATCTTGTCAAAGAGAAGAAAGCTCGAGCTTATCAAGCGTCATACTCGATGGAACCAAACATCAAGCCTTCTCCATGATGTACTCCACAGCATCCCAGCAGTTGCTCCATATGCTCTCACCTATCGCGACCAACACCTGCAGCACTCCGTCGAACACCTGCGTGAAGGCCTCGGCCAACGCGTCGAGCGCGCTCCTGCTCGTCGCCGGGAGCTCCGCAACCGCCGATACCGTGAGCCGGAGAGCCCCAGCCACGACGCTCGTAAGCGCCTCGAGCAAGCTCGAGACGAGGGACATGACCACGTCCCTGACGAGCTCCAGCGCGCACTGCAGCGCCCACCAGAGGAGGCCGCGGGCTAGCTCAACCGCATCGTTGCAGGCTTCTCCGAGGATCTTGAACAGGTTGACGAAGGCTATTAGGGCAGCAGTTGCAGCTCTGATGACAACAGCACTTGCTAAGCATGCCAGTGAACCGGTCGCCCAGAGTACAAACTGCAGCAGAGGAAGTGCCATTGCCTGCTGATCAATGGTGGTGTAGATTACAAGGAGAACAGCATGTTTCTTATACAAAACCACAGAGAGTTAAAAGAGTTTATGAGAGGAGACAAATGTTCTTTGTTTTGCTGACTACTATATTCAAATGTCACGGAGACTTGGTCTTTTAACTTAATGTAAATTATAACAACTATATTATAAGATAGAAGACTTTGGCTATTCTTGGTTAGCTGAAATGTTCTAATCAGCAGTCACTAGTTCATAGAGGAAACATGTCATCAAGAAAGATCATTGTAATCAAACTAAAAACCTTTACAAAAAGCATGAGCAAATATGTTAGTGCAATCTATTAGCAAGATAACAGGAAGAACTGAAAATATTAGAACAATCTTACAAAATACACCCAGTCCAGTGAACAAGTTACTTCTAAGAGAGTTCATTTTCCAAGAGAAAGAAGACAACACATAATCACAATTAGAGATCCAGCAATTATAAGACAAAAGAGAGAGAACCTTTGAGTCTTTAACAGTTCTACCTCATTAGCACACAAAGCATCAAGTGAAGAATCATGGCAAGCATAAATATGTAGGGAAAAGCCAAGTGCTATGTATGATGGTACTCATGTATGGAGAAGAGTAAAGAGAGGGCAAGAGCTGCTTTTAGACATGTCATGAGAACAGAATGATGTGATCTTCCATGACCTGGGAGAAATAGGCAATTGCAAATAAGAAGAAGACTTTGGATTCACTGTCAAGAAATTAGATACTAAAAGAAATGAGAAGAGGACAGAAGAGCTCTATCAACCAGAGCAAAAATGAAGAACCAGTCACTAAGACTCATATATTTCAGAGAAGTGATACTGAACTTTTTGCACAGAGAAGCAAAAAGAAAGCTTTGGAGGATGACTACAGAAAAAAACAGAGTAGAAATATTTTGATATTTCTAAGGCTTGGTTCATATAAAAGTAATACCACGTTGACTTAACGACAAGTAATTACATGTATATTTATGAGGCACACATGATTTAAGATGCAAGTTGGAACATATTACCACCACTTGCATTATTAAACCAATAACATGTTATTGACAACTGCTATTCGCATGGAATGAGTCAACTATTCAAACAACATCCTAATCCAAGATTCCAACAGTTCTTCAAAGCTACACCAAGTAATCAGCTTCTGTACATGTAATTAACGAATAGAATAACCCAACCATTCAATTGATGAGCAGCTTGAAGGTACACAATCCAGAGAGAGGAGACAAAATCTTGCGACCAATCTCATCACAAGAGAAAATCATTACAAAAGAAGAATGAACAGAGATGATAGTTATTATCGTCAATACATGGATTTAGGGTAAGAATTGAGAAAGTATCGAAGTTCTTCATCATGACAAATTGTTATTCAAAAACACGTACATGACAAAGACGACTCACAGCCCACAATATAAATGTCTATTTCAGCAATGATAAGCATAAGGAATGTAGAATAACTGGGCATTCAAATAGATTTAACATGTGTTATTCATATTATACTATTGATATCAGTTTATTGTAATCCAATGATAGGATGAATCATGGCTTATCCATACCAAGCGTGCCAACCGCCAGCCATGTCAGCCTAACATATCCTTCCAACATAATGCCACTGCCAACACCAACAGGTACTGTTCTTCCATGAGACACACTAAAGACGCATTGTTTTTTACTTTTGTTCGGCTAATGTTGGCTATTTAATCTCCCATGCTGATCCAATAAGCCTTTGGTAAACCTTGCTAGTGTAATGCTACTAAGGATACCACACACTCAACAAAACCAAAATACCTAAATACCATATTCTTATCTATTCTGATCTATCCATCTTCCCTCGACTCTTCCAACTTCTGAATAGTGTGGTTATAAAAACACAGATGTACTCAAATGTCTAAAGCACCTTACTTATCAAAAGAAATTTAGGTGTAGGAGGTGAATGCATGCTTGATTTCCTCAATCAACAAAACTAATTTACAGACAGCCCATGAATATTTGCAACATTGAAGTTCAATCCATCCTTGCTTCAGAGCAAAACAGTATACAGCATTGACACTGATAATATCAGACAGTTGCTATGAAAAAAAAAAGTTAATTTGCATGGACCTCCAAGCACATCTTAAGCCAGGTTGGACAAATTCGAGCAAGTTTTCAAAGATTTGAAGCAAGATACATCATCCTTAGCATTCAGCCATGAAAGGTCACTTTAAGGAACCTTCTTTTTTTTCTTTTAATACTGGTAGCATAGTATGAGTCAGAACAACTGGCAGATAAGTAGAATGACAATCAATTTCCTTTAACCAACACATTTCCTATCAATTCCTCCTTCAAATTCATATCTCTTTTAAGGCTTTTAACCTTGATCTCACCAATTCTACTGAAAGATGGACATCTTCATCTCTACAACTGAGATATATTTCTTCTACTTTTTCTTGAAACAAGTTTTCTCACAAAATTTTCTCATTATGTATCTAATACTGTGTGAATCCAATATTTGCCCTTGTATTAAGAGGAACAAGAAAACTGTAGAACAAACCTAAAGTAGATTTTGGAAGATGTAGAACACAGACCTGGGCTTCTCAGTGGAAGTACTCCGGCTTGACAGCACATGAGGATCTTATCAGATGTAAGCACATCATACCTGTGGTGTGTGAATTTGGTAGCAGTCATTGATAATCTTAAAGGATTTATATGCCATAAGTCAAGCATCCATGGACAACAGACAGGCATATTATAGAATTTACTGTTAAATTCTTTGCAAAGTACATGCATGGTGGTTAAACATGCATGCCTCTTAGCAGAAGCCATCAGAAAGATCTGATTCTGTTTCATTTCTGTAAGTTAGGTGGTATCTATGCTGTCATCTGAATTGTTAAGGTTAGGATTTCAAATATACTCTTGTATTAAAAAAGAGCTTGTTAGTTGGCTCATCCCAAGGCTATTGAGAATCGAATCTGTATTTTTTTAAATACAAAACAAGAAACCAGGATGATATTTCTGAAAAAAGAAAATCTTCTGAAACAATTTAGACTTTAGAGCTAGAATTCAATTTCGTTGTGTGATAATAACTATGACAACTTCAGTACAATCTGTGAGAATTAGAACATATTGGGACATTGCTCTAAGTTAACCACATCAGGCCTAATATCTAGGAAAATCCAAATGCAGCCTAAGCTGAATAGCAAGTTTCTAGAACCACAATCTTAACTAATTCTTCCTTTCTTAATTGTCAAATTAAAGTAACTGATGAGTCAAAGCTTACTTTTGTTCATTACAATGATAAAAAATAATCTCCTAAACATGCTATTATCCAGCATATGCCAACCATAAGACAAAGTTGTAAAACTACCAGCCACATTATTTACAGCATTGTAAAAAAAAAAAATCTGCTGTATCTGCACAAAATATTTAACTGAACCATATGAAATGTATATCTACAAAAGTAAACCAACAAGACTCAGAGATGCAGTTCCAGTGTGAACTAAATAATCAGCAATATAATGACCTTAACAAAAAAGCATTTTTATACTCTCCTCTTTAATCAAAGCAACCAGAACTAAATAAATACAGTCCTGGTAACACAAAAGCCAGTATGCAAATAACAAGAAAGCATAAGACGATTAAATTGCAAATACATAATCATGAGAATCTAGATAGGCTAGCAATGTCTATACATCACACTTTGATGCACAACTATCATAAACAAAAATTTGTTCTCTGCAGGCAGATCTCAGCAGATGCAACTGTTATTTAACAATAAAATTGTACCTTTTAAATTGCAGTAAGATAACAACAACCAGAAAACATGGCTCCTAATCAACTTATTACCACCAATACATCAAACCAAATAGACTCAGTTAAGGATGCCTGCACCAGTTTTGCTCTGCCTTGCGATCTTGGACCACTCAGTGTGGAATGATCCTGGGCGATCAACTCGCTCATAGGTGTGTGCCCCAAAGTAATCCCTCTGTGCCTGCACCAGGTTTGCAGGCAGCCTTGCCCGGCGATAAGTGTCGAAATATGCAAGGCTGGCACACATACCTGGCGTGCTGATTCCAGCTTCAATTGCAAGTCCTACAACCCTCCGCCATGCTGCCTGCCTCTGCACCATCTCCCTTGCAAATTCAGGGTCCACAATCAGGTTCGCAAGTCCCCGATTTCGCTCATAAGCCTTCTTAATCCTATCCAAAAACCTCGCCCTTATAATGCACCCTCCCTTCCAAATCCTTGCAAGTTCCCCGAGATTGAGATTCCATCCCTTCTCAGCACTCTTAGCTCTGAGCAAGTTCATACCTTGGGCGTAACTACAGATCTTGGAAGCATAGAGAGCCTGCCGGACGTCATCAATTAGGCGTTTCTTGTCGACAGACCGGCCGCTGATAAAGTCACCGCTACCGATCCCAGCTTGGTCAAGAGCCTTGGCGGCAGCCTCTCTCTCATCCTTGAGGCCACTAAGGTACCGGCAGTCGAGAGAGGCCGCAATGGTCGGGGCAGCAACTGAAAGCTCAGCTGCCTGCTGAACTGTCCACTTGCCAGTCCCCTTCATCCCGGTCTTGTCCAGGATCTTGTCAACAAGCTCCCCATCACCATGCTCATCGCGAACTCCAAATATGTCGGCAGTGATCTCGATGAGGAAGCTCTCAAGCTCGCCACGGTTCCATTCGGCAAAGGTCTCCGCAAGCTCAGGATTAGACAGCCCACCAACGATCCTGAGCACGTCGTAGGCCTCAGAGATGAGCTGCATGTCACCGTACTCGATGCCATTATGGACCATCTTGACGAAGTTACCAGAGCCGCCCTCACCGACAAAGGTGACGCAGGGCCCGTCGTCCACCTGGGCAGCGACGCGGGTGAGAATGTCTTCGACATTCTGATAGGCCTGGAGGGACCCGCCGGGCATGAGGGAAGGGCCGTTCCGGGCGCCGTCCTCGCCGCCGGAGACGCCCATGCCGAGGTAGAGGATCCCGCGGGCGGCGGCCTCGCGGATCCGGCGCTCGGTGTTCTCGTACCACTCGTTGCCGCCATCGATGATGGCGTCGCCGGGCTCCATGAAGTGGGAGAGGGCAGCGATGGTCTGGTCGACGGGTGCGCCGGCCTTGACGAGGATGATGACGGAGCGGGGGCGGCGGAGAGAGAGAACGAAGTCCTGGGCGGAGCGGTGACCGGACATGGGGAGGCCGCCCTCGGCGGCGGCACGGGAGACGGTCTCGTCGACCTTGGAGGCGGTGCGGTTGTAGACGGAAATGGGAAATCCCTTCTCGGCGATGTTGAGGGCGAGGTTCTGGCCCATCACAGCCAGTCCTGCCAGCCCGATCCGCGACAGAACCGCCGACTCCACCGCCATCTCCTCCTCCTTCGAGGCTTCCTTCTAGGGTTCGAGGGGTGCGAGAAGGAGACGGGGTTGGGTGACTGAAGCACGGAAGTGGGAGCTGCCGGGCGTTGAAATAGAGGAATCACTTGATCTGTAGCTCTTGATCTTTGGTGAATCTTTCAGGGAAAGCCCTCCACGATATTTATTTTACGTATCAGTCCTTCACCTAACATAAGGCAAATTTGGAACTTTTACATATAAACCTCTCAAAAGATTGTATTTTATTTTTGTATTAGCGCTATATTTCTTGGATGCACGCACGAGAATCACATCTTTGGCAAATGGAACACGTAATTACACATCTTCGTAGGGGTGCAAATATAAATTCTGCTTGAGGGGTTCTAAGAGAAATGCCGAATAAGTTGGGGATCTTTTTATGAAACGAAAGGGTCAAATATCTTTTCTCGCTTCTGCGGACTCGTCGAGGTAGCCAAAGGGCGGACGGTGTTCGGAAGGATCCTCTCCAATCACCGTACGCGTTTCGTCCTAACCCAACCGTTGATATTTAAGTGGACCGTCGGGCCCACGAAGAATGCCCGGATTCATACCGATGGATGGACGAGCGACGGGAATTCGAGATTCCAATTTCAAAGGATAGTTGGAGAGGATCCTCACCTAGCCTTTAGTGTTAGGTCGGGCAGAGCCGCCTTTGAGAAGGCAAGGAAATAGAAGACATCCACTCATCACATTATAAGCAGATATACCAAAGCCCATCTACTCAAAAGCGTGAGAACAACACAGTTTAAATCCATACAACAGGTAATGCATCCTCAGGACAGATACAATAGGGGCATGTATCTTAAAACATTCCTAATCACAATAATAGATGCATGCATCAAGTCATAATCACCCACTATCTGTATCCAATACAATTTCGAATGCATGATTTTGAGTACCAAAGTGAAATGTAAGAGGATCAAACACCTAAAATGATCCCCTTTTGCACATAGGCCTCCCATTATCTACAAGTGAAATCGGTGAAAGTTTTCTATAAGTCAACTCATTTTTCTCACAACAGTTGAAACTCCACCACAGAACAACCCTGTTGGACTCTGAATAAACATCTCTGAACCACAGTTACTGTAATTTTCCAATACTCAAATATGCCGAAGTTTCATCCGAGAACAGCACACTGATAAATCACAATAATTCGACCATGGACTTAAGGAAATTGCAACCATGTAGTCAGGTAGTTCTTGGTCGTGGAGTGAAAACCCATTGAAAAAGAATAGCCATCCTTATTAAGAAACCAGAAACCTGTGAAGCTCGAGTCACTGATCATCAGTGTGTCTGACGTTCTAAGATTTTATATAGCTAACGGCTAATGGACGTAAGTGTCAGAAAAAAAGCAAGTAGAAAGAATGGATGGTTAGTCAACTGTTGGTCCTCGCAACTTGTTAGCAACATGCAGGAGATGGTTGATGTTTGCAGTTGGATAATTTTGTAAAAGCTTGAGATTAGAAGTGAAATCACCAGCTAAGAGCCGCCTTCGAACAAATATTAACATAGCACAGCATATTCGGAGTAGGGTTTCCTGCAAAAGAATCCAGATGCATCTATGAATTGTTCAACAAACAAATGGACCAATTAAGTTGAGGTAGCAGAAATAGTGCCCCGAGTTACCTGAGGACCTTCTGGATCACTAAAAAGAGTATCCCAAATGCGAAGACAATCACTAAAGTTGAACTCTTGAGTCAGTAGTAGTGTGATCCATCTAAATGCGTAGAATTGAGGATTTACCTGGGTTTCCCACAAAAAACAGCTGGTGATAAAAAAGTTATGATAGAAAATCAAAATACGAGTCCGCTAGGAAAGAAACATTAAAGCGTCAACGATGAAGTATCAAGTCTGTTCTAGGAAATTTAGAACAAAGCGAAAAAAAATGAGGGAAAGACCCATCATCAATTTGCAACTTAATGCATTTTGCACTTTATACATTACATATATGTACAAGCCAAAATAATCAAACAGAAAAGTCTAATTACATGCAACACAAGCAGAAACATCGCAAACAATTGCTTCTGGGATTAATAGCTACAAGGTATGACAGTAGCCGTGGAAGTCATTGTTATATGTGTAGCACAACCTCAAATGAAGCTAAACAACTTTAATCTTATTCAGGTTCCATTTTCTAAATTGCATCATGTTAATGTATGTATGCATGACCACACATCACTACATTCAATGTGCATAATTTGTACAAAAGTGTCAATAAAGAGATGAAATATAAAATAAAAGCACCATGTGATGCAAGGATAAAAGAGTTTTTGCAGGAAATAAGCATTAATAACATAACATCCTTTATAGATCATCAATCTAGCAAACTTCATTGCCAATTTTAAGTGTAAATGAAGAGAACGGATCAGTATGTAAAGACATGCTGTACCGGAAAACCCTACCAATCTACAACTACAATATGGTAAAGCACCAGTACACCATAAGTAAATCCTTGGGTGAAACCACAAAAAACTTGGTAATTTTAAACAACACATTTCTTGGCTCCCTCCTCTGTGGTATCTTGCAAGTGGAAATTAAGTATATGGCTCCGCTATAACTTTTAGGATCTTAAAATATTAGGAAATCAATAAATTATCATGTAGGCTTCTATTCAAATAAGACAAATCGTAACTGTTTGAGGATGTATTTCATTGTTCAGATTATCAAGAATAAAAACACAAAAACAATTAAAACATTTTTCTTCACTTATTTTTGAGTTATTTATTGGTAATAACCTTTCGCAATTGTCAATTACCGAATTGAGAATAAAAAGCAGTTCGTTTAAATAACTACAGTTTAGCAGCATGAAAGTCAAAAGAAAATTCAGATAATCTTCTAAACAAAAAATATGTACTTAATAAAATCATAGAAAGCTTCAAAACTTGCAAAAAAAATCTCACTTTTGTTGTTACTTCTAATTGACGCCAAAGCTCTTCATCATGCCTTTTTAAAAGTTGTGATAATTTTTCTATTGTTGAACGGATACCAACAAGGCTATTGTCAAGCTGCTTGCAAAAGTTGTCCCTGAATATGCTCAATAACTCGACAAAGCAGCAAAATGTATCCACTTCTGCATGAGACTGCATCCATAATAATTAGCAATCGGTTAAAAGATATTTTTTCAGAAAATAGAAACAGGAAAAATTAAGACAGGAAAGCATATTTCTCTGCAACAACAAGCTTTGTTCCCAGTTATACGTCGCACAAATATTTTTCCACCAATAATTCATCAATGAGTTTGAAACAAAACTTCACAAACATTTAGCGCATAATTCAACAAAAAGTCATCCAAGAGTTAATTTTGTACTTAAAGTTGCAAGAGACAAGAATCAGTCTGTTTCTAATTCCATTGGATAAGTCCATGAGTCATTTGATTCATACCATCTTCTTTTCAGTATCTTTCTTTCATCAAAATGAAAGTAAATAACTAGCAATAAGTAAATTGAAGATAGGTAAGTTGCATCTGCTTCATGACGCTGCTTTAGCATATTCCAGAACCTTCTTCAATAAATAGTCCAATATAATCCACAAGCAGTACAACAAACTAATTGAATTACCTTGCTATCACAACTATCAGACAAGGATTAAACATCAATATCATGGCATTACCTATCAAGAGTAAAAAAAGTGAAGACACAACGACAAAGAAGTGAAAACATTCATGTAACTTATTCATCATATATAACATTATCCTTACAGCGTTAGTTTCATCTGGGTCATTCCTGAATACATAGAACAGAGGTGCTAAAATTTCATTCATTCCCTGCACATATTTTATTCCAGGATTTAATTTTGCAAAGATAATAAGTATGCGCCTTAAAGCTTCCTGAAAAGACAAAAAAAAAAAGCTCAGAGTTGAAGCAGATGCATCAAACTAACAGCTAAAAACCTGAATGACACTGAAATTACACAATCACCTGATTAGATTTTGCAAGAGATGAGCCTCCACAAAAAAAATCCATATCTGGATGAGTACGTTTTACATCTCGATCTATCTGCTCCAGTATCTCTGCCTCCTGATTGGTGTAGATTGTTAATTTGTTTATTATATGTGTCAACACCCAGCAATGAAGGACCTCTAGATTGCTCAAAAAATGCAAATGCAGATACACCTATATGATTATGAGGACCTGACTTGCTAGAAAATACAAGTACAGATAAAACTCAAAAAGATCCAAGTACCCTAACTCTATCCAGATATGAATAATAGTATGTGGTTCGAAACAATATATCACCAAGAATAGTATGAAATACAGATTAATTCTACTAACCAGTAATAGCCCAGTTATTAAAAAGAAAATAACAGTGATAGATCCCTATAAATCCCGCATTGCATTATAATAAGGGCACACAGACTTCATGCCTTCACTTAGATCTTACTAATTTATTAAATTCCAAAGACATGGCGCAAATAGTGATATATTTCTTCTTTTTATATATGATTACCCACACTTTCTGAAAAGGCAGAAAGCTGCTCTGCTTAACATGCATTGCAATTTGTTGACCGTGCAATGTAGGGGTGAACACCTAGTCATGGTGGAAAAGCCTTTCTTCAAGCACTATTACAATTCGTTTGCAACTAGAAAAGCTGATTGTGCAATAAACTAGATAAAGGCAGTATTTCCATTCATGAACTTGTAGATCAAAGCTGAACAAGGTATACCGATTTCTGGCAGAGAAATAACATGCCAAACTTGTTCAAAATTTGCTATTTGGCCAATCAATAACAATCTAAGGCTCACTATTATTAGGATGACTGAATGGTTCTCTATCATCAGGCTTCCATTTTTCATTCAAAAATAAATGAAAGATAGAACAAGAGGCAAACTAACAAAATCAACATGAGAAGTATTAATAAGGCAAAAAATAAGAAATGAGAAGGTATTCTCAATAAGACTAAGTTTATAACTCGGCCATTTGTTCAACACAATTCCCACTTTGATTTAAAAAATAATACCTGGAAGTATTGGTTCCACACGCTACTCTTCATAAGACTCAGAGGATGTTCCCCATGAATAATCTTTGACCTCGAAAGCAAGCCAGTACTTAGACAACTTAATTCTTCATTCTTGGAACCAGCTGAATCTTCCATTCTACGGGTGATCTCCGACTGACTAGCAACAGAATATTTCAGCAAGACCAGAACATATTGGAATAAGCGGAAAAAACAAAAAAATGCTATACGAATGGATGTCAACTGTAACCTTGTGGGTTCACAGGGTCCTAACAGATAAATAATAGAATCCAATATCAAAACCTGTACCAGAACCCTCGAAAAACTTACGGGGTTCCGTAGAAGCTCGTCCATTAAAGTGTAATATTGAGTCTGCTTCTTTTCCAATTCATGTGCCCACAACGTCCGATCTAGTGGCAAATACCCCAACAATAGCTGTTAACTACAAAGAAAAAAACCAATAAATTCCCATATAATGGAAAAGAAACAGTAGTCAGATGTTCTTTATTGGACAAATTACTATCAATTGTTGATAATTCCCCATGTTAAATGGAGAAATATTACCTGTGCTACGACAAACTAAACAGATTACAAGTTATAATAAAGAAGAGCATTTTGACACAAATCATGGTGACTAAGCTGAAAGAAAAGGCAACAATAGTGGGATAAAAAGAACTTGAAAAGGAATCATTCAAGACCTTCCATGCTGTTGGACGAACGCCATGCGGAATACCCTGGAATGCCAACCTCCGCAATTCCCCTAGGTTGATGATCCTACTAGATAACTGAGAACCAAAGACGCTAAGTTCAATTAAATCCTAGGGGAAAATAAGAGAGAAACAAGATCACAGCGCATCCATGTGACAGAACCCTAACCGTGATCTGGAAGTCGGCCAGGAGCTGGGACTCGCGGGATTCCTCCTCCAGCGAGGACCAAGACGGGCTCAGCTCACCGGAGTGGGCTCCGATCTCCGACCTCTGAGCCACGGCGAGCCGCGGCCGGGAAGGGGATGGCTCAGGCCGCGGCGGCGCCGGAGGAGGAGGAGAAGAAGGTTCCGGAGATAGGGTTCTTGTCTCGTAGCGGGAGCTGCGGCGATCGTCGGAGAGATTGGAGGACCAAAGAGGGCTATTGAGCCACTCGGGCACGACCTTCTTCTTCCCCACCATCCCTTCCGCCGTTTCCCCGCGCCGGCCTCCCGTTGCCACTTGCGCTTCGTTTTCTCGTCGAAGACGTTTGCGGTGGCGAGTGGAGCCAACGGGCCCCGGGTTTTAGTTTATGAAGGTCCGTTATGGTGATATAACGGTAACCCCGAATCCGATATGTGAATAGTAAGTAACGGTTCTTTATTGTGTGTATCAATCAAAACTTGTTATTTCATTTATGTTTCCGTTATTTATGTGCAACGTAACGGAATTTTATTGTATCAGTCATTGTTTCGGAGTCAGGTTAATGTTGCAGAGCCAAAATAACGGTTTGGATATGGTATAAACCCGTCATAGTCTCTATCTGCCACATTAGCTATAAGCCAAAAGGACTTGATTAGCTATGCAGGCATGCAAATCTCTTTAGACAATTTCATCGTTAATATTTGATGATTTGAGTTAATGACCTCTCTCATGCTATGCTATTGTTTCTGTGCTATCATAAACTTAGTTGTTTTTACCTATACGAAAGAATATATATATATATATGTATATTTATAAAAAAAATTTATATTTTTATAACTTTATAGAAAGAGAATATAAAAGAACACACAAGTAAATTATCATATATGTTATATAACTTTATATCGTGGTATGGGAGACATTGCAACTTGGTTCGGTCCGAATGTATATGGTCGATCGTGGATCGAATCTCGAGGTTATGTTGCTTTGTTGTGATCGATCCGAGGTGGGACTTGATCGATCTGGTCTCTGGTGCACCCCCGCACGATAGATCGATGTCAGGTGGAATCTAAACTCGACTTTTTCGATGCTTAAGTTAGTGAGTAGATTATAAAGTGTAAGATAGATCCTTTTGCTCTCCGAGTTAGGGAATTAATATTTATACCTATGGAGATGACTCAAAGGTACGTGGGTTATTGATGGATGTTGATGCTTTGTTCGGCATGATCATGCGAACGGTTGATACATACATTCCTAACAACGTGGGTCGATCATTTGGGCCTAAATTGTGCAGCATCAACACGTACAGTCCCGAGCACATAGTGAGTCATGCACTGTCCACCAGGTTGACTACTCTTCCTATAGATGTGTGTTCGATCGTTTCATATTAGTTCCTCGATGGTGACCAGTTGTCAATCCGTGATTAGTGTAGAAATATTTTTTAGTGATATATAATAAGAAATAACTAAAGATAAATTTGTAAAATTATCACCTATTTCCGAGTGATGTGGTGCCGAGCCAAGACGAATTCTAAGTTATAAGATTATGTTGGGGGAGGGGGTGTACCCTACAAAACTCATGATGCTCAAGCTCGTGGTTATAATCGTGATGATGTGACATGTCAATCGAATGAAGATGATGTATCAATCGAATAAAGATGTCAATAGCTAATCACACGTCGTAATCCTCATATCAATAACCAAAATAACTTGTTGAGCTTAAATCATTGGCTCAAACTATTGAATATTTTCAGTGTGAGATTAAATTGAAGTATCATATGCTTGAGATATAATTTAAATTTTTAAAAATATCATGTTATATTTAGTTAACATATTAAATTAATAATCAATAACCCCCTCTTTTAATTTAGTTAATTAACTAATTAATATATTAAATTAGCATCTCTCTCTCTCTCTTTAAATTTAGATAGGGTTAGGTTTATAGGTTCTAAATCGAGTGAAACTAATATGTATCCCAAATAATTCTCATCCTTATCTACAACTCAGAAGTCAATGAAACCTCACTTTTTAAATCAATGCTAATGATAGAAAAAGGTAGAAAAACTGTTGCAGTTCTCTATATGTAGCATTGGGAAGTTATAAAAAGGAATTCAATGTTAATGCAAATAATAATGTAAAAGAAAATTTACAAAAAGCCAACAAAATCTATTTATCAACACAATTAAATGGATATAATTTCGATGTGAAACTAAATTCGGTACTGATATCTTCGATCAGATTTGATATGAATTTAGATAGGAATAATGGATTTGAATTCGAATAGCACGTTTAGTTTTGGATCCGATTCAATTTTAAAACTAAGAAATCTTCAATAGAAGAATAATTTAGCTACTAAAGGGATGAAATGTACTTAGAGATCCGAAACCCGCGCCCACAGATCCGATAGAGCCCGAGTTGGTCTCCGAGACGTCCGCGAATCGGACTCCAAACTGACTTGCGGTCGTCATCTCATCAAAGACCGTGGGCCCACTCGGATTATTGTGGGCCCCGAAGCTAAAGGACCTCTCAGAAACGGGGTGCGCGGGACGAGTGTGCACACTTGTTGACCGTGACTCAGCCGTAACGACCACGAACCCTTCCGGGGTGCGCCCCGGCTGCTCCCCCACCCCCAAGTGTTGAGATTCCATTGGCTAGCGAGTTGGAGGCCCCATAACGAACGACCATTAGAAATACACCACGTAGCTTATTCACACGCACCTCCGGCACATCGTACCGCATTCCCTGGACCCCGGCGACTTAATTCGTTACATAAAGTAGAATATCGGTTGTGGATTCGTTCCATCCGAAACGGCGTAGCCAAAATTAGAAAACGAATCCGCCACCGTTCTGCAAACCGACTTCTGGCTTCGAAACCCTCGCCTCGCGCTTTAAAGGAGGAGGAGGAGGAGGAGGCGAGGAGAGGAGATCGCTTCGATCCCATTGCGATCCCATCACCGGGATATTATGATCTTCCGATCGGAAGAGGGCGATTGTGGCGAATACGTACACATACCGTCGGTGGAGGACGACGAAGACGTCGACAACGACGAGTACGAGCGCAATCATGGTGCGGATGAAGTTGGAGATGGAAGATTGGGTGTCGTTCGAGATGAATCGTTCCTGCTCCCGCCCTACAACTTCAACATGGTGGATACGTGGATCTACCGCTCGGGGTTCCCCACCGCCGCCAATTTCCGTTTCTTGGAAGGGCTCAACCTTCGATCCATCGTGTGAGTTTCTCATGGCTTTGAATTTCCCCGAATCTGAAGTTGTTTCCGTCGATGCGTACTCCCTTTTTGTTTTTGTATTGGGGGTGAAGGGATTGGTGCGAATGCTGTGGGGGATTTGGTTGCAGGTATTTGTGCCCGGAGCCGTACCCGGACGCTAATGCCGAGTTCGTTCGCTCCCATGGGATTCGTCTGTTCCAGTTCGGGATTGAAGGAAGCAAGGTAGAAAAATTGTCTTTATTATTCTCTCTAAATTCTAAATCTGCACTGTTGGTACATTCTTATAAATGTTCTCATTGAACCTTCTGTGGGAGTTCTGTTGTCTTTATTGTTATTCATTTTGCCTTGGCTCTGTTAATCAGTAAATCAAAGTAATAATTTTAATGGTGATCTTATTAGCAATTTCATTGACATCATCATGATCATCACTTTTCTGTACCTTATGTGATAATATATAACCTCTTTGATGATCACAAGCTAAATGTCACCGGTAGCTTTTTTTTTTATTTAGAACCTGCATTAGTGTTATTTACGTTTCATGGTGAAAAATTCAGTCATTACACACTTTTCTGCTGTGCTGACTACGTGTACCGATCTCTCTTATTAGTTAGATCAAACATGCTTATTTTGATTTTTGTCCTAAATCACATTTTGGCTTTCTTTTTATGAAACCTGAGGGGTAGCACATCATGTTATTTCCAAAGTTCATTACCCATAATGCTATTATCTATCCCTTCCATCAAAAAGGTACCCAATCTCTTCTTACCAAGAAAATTGCCTACTTTCTTGAATTGTGACAAAAGATGTTCTATGAGAGTTCACTGTAATATCTGTTTAAGGTATTCATTTAGTCACAAGAAAGATTCAACCTGATAAGCAAACAGTAGAACTCATGTGATGATGTCGAGTCATGTGTTTCATATAGTTAGATCAATATCACCCTTGTTTGTGCATACGATTCTCTTTGAATTTTATTGCGTTGCAAAAAGCAGAACAACAACAAATTGGAAAAGCTAATATCCATAATTCCAACAATTCTACTTCTTTTTTGTTTTTCATGTAACCAAGGCTTGCACCTGCAGGAGTCTCTTGTGGCCTTGCCAAAAGATGCTATCATGAGGGCTCTCGCTGTCTTACTTGGTACACAAATATGCAAAATTTGAACTTTTAATTCTCTTTTTCAATCTATATGTTTATTGTCGAAATCATTTTAATTTCTTTGTCCTTGCAGATGTAAGGAATCATCCAATTCTGATTCACTGCAAAAGGGGGAAGGTAAAAGAATCACATTGACGCCCATCAAATTCATTCAAGTGCCTTGAATTGCTAATGAACTTACATTCTTTCATCTGCAAATGGTATTCCAGCATCGGACAGGGTGTCTTGTGGGCTGTTTCAGAAAGTTACAGAACTGGTGCCTGTCTTCTGTGTTTGAGGAGTATCATCGCTTTGCTGCCACCAAAGCTCGACCATCAGATCTGAGTTTTATCAGTAAGTTCGACGTCTCATGCACGCTGCGTATACTCAGTATCATCTACCGGTGCTATGGACGTGGTTCCCAAGTTGGGCGCTTGCTTTACGAGGATAATAATAGCTCGTCATGACGAACAATCTCTCCTATTTCTTTTCTATTTTTCTTATCATGTGGTTTTGTCGTGGAAGTCGAACATTCCATTGCAGATCTGCTCATGTACATCGTTCTCTTATCGGAATATCAATAATCTCTTGACCCTATTTTTTAGGTGCCAGGGGAATTCTTCTCGTCTATTTGTTGTTCCTCTCAAAGCTATCATCTGTTACAACTTTATATGCGATCTTTTCAACTTCATAGGATGAGAAAGATGGATAACAGCTTGGATGCATTTACGATCGAGATTAGCTGTTGTGACATGCAATCCAAATGTTACACAAGACATGCTGTTTACATTAAGGTAATACCAATTAAGCTGGAGAATAAGAAACAGTAGGCATAATGACTATAACTGTCGGTGTCAGATTAGTCACCCGTTCTTCCACCCACGCGTTCGGAGCCGGGCGCTTCCTCACGGTTTTTCCGCCCCCACCGAGCTTGCCTTCGGGTCCCACTTCTCGCCACCCAGGCCTTAATAGAGGTGCAGCGTCCGACCCTTCAACCGTACCCGAGATCGGCGTTAACACGGATCTTGAAGCAAATGGAAGGCGATCAGTGAAGAAGGGTGGGTTACCTGTCGTTTCTCGCTCGCGTTCTCCACCTGCCCCGTTTCGTTTCCTCTCCCTCTCGTATTACACTTAGACATGGCCCTGCCGACCCTATACCCCCATCCAACCGTTCGTCCTATCACATTGAACGGACATCAGAAGCGTGCATCCTAACTTACAATCCTCCGCCAGTCAATTTAACTTCCCTGCGAAAGGAGGAGCTGCGACGGTTCGGTCACCTCAACCGTTTTGACTCCCCGGCCCGAGTCTACTCGGCTCGAGTTGGAACGGCGGGAAGCGTTTCCCGCCCCATATCCCCTTCATTAATTGGTCGCGCCTCTCTTTCTTGATTCCAGAGAAATCCAGCCACTGCCGCCGCTCCGATCCGCCGTCGAGGTCCGGCCGGTACGCGTCCCATTCACATTCTCGCCTTTGTCCCATTTTAGATTTGGAAACCCTATTCCACCTATCCATTCTCTGCTTTTGGTCCTTTTAGGGTTTGATGTGAACTGGTTGTATCTTGAACCGTTCTAATGCAGTCCTTAAGGGGTTTGGGATGGCTTTTCCCGTGGGAAAAAGACCGATGAGATGAAGAACCTGTTAATGTTCTATATGACGAAAGGATTTGGCGATTGAGAGTAAGAGACATATGGTGTGTCATTGTATCTTTTCCATTCCATGGAGACATCAACCGTCAAGTTTGAACCAAGCAGAAACTGAATGAATATTGTAGATTATACATGCTAGGATTGGCTGTGGGATAAGCATATCGAGGGAGACGTTTGAGTTGCATCACTTGATCACAAATAGAGTGATTGAAATGGTTTGCAAATTCCAAAAGATTTTAATATGAGAATGAATAGCTTATACAGAGTTGCGCATTTGATTTACTGAATTTGCCTGAACCGCATCTGCATCTGATCTTACCAGGGTAATTGTGACTATCGGCTTCTTTTATATACCCATTGCAATCTGCTAAAGCTTCTTTTCCAACATGAAATTCTATTATGTCAATTCGAGTTTATCTTTGGTCTCACATGTCAAAATGTCTTAAGCTTGAAGCATGAAATACTAGTTTAGACAGAAAATATAAAGAGTTGCTGAGCCGAGTTGATGCTTTGTCATTGTTTAGGAATTGCATACAGATGTTCTTTTGCTGATTTAGCTGCAACTTTATTTTCATGAGTGTTCCGGGAAAGGGCCAAAAAAAAAAGTCTATGTTTTTTCTTCAGGACTGGCATCTATAACTGTGGAAATTTAGTTGTTTCACCAAGAAGCTGGTTGTTACCTACAAAATGTAAAAAGAGAGCCTCTATCTTTACACCCCTGTTTGTGATCCTCTTTGGGACATCACAAGAAAATAATTTAGGTGTCATGAACAATAATCTTCCATGGATTTTTGACCCATATCAATAGGTTCACAAAGTTAGGGCATAAGCAGACATTAAATGTGCTAATTCTCTATTTGATGGCCAGTTGTTTGCAACATAGCCGATAAGTTAGATCATGTTGACCTTTTAGAGGATGTCTTCTAGGGACTAGAAGATTCTCATAATAATATATTTTGATATCTTTTTGCTATGCACTTTATTCTCTTTAGCTTCTGAAATGAAGAGAGCAAATCTTGTTAAAAATAAAGCAAACTGATTTTTCCACTTGAAATAATAGTGATAGCAAGCAAATAGAATCATGTTAGAGTAGAAAGAGGGTGAAAGATTAAATTGTCTAGTGATATGGATACACATCATGTGGTGCATATCCAAGCATAGAAATTTGGAAGATCTGAAATGACAAACAAAGAGATACAAAAGAAACGAGAAGTGGAAAAAACATCATGTTCAGCTAAAAGCCAGCTGCATTTCAGTTGTTTGCACTATCAAGTATAACCCTGCTACTGAAGGAGAGAATCCAGTGAAAGCATAGGAGTTGCATAAGAATTCTGTTTGCACTATTAGTCCTTCTAGTTTTTCCATCTCAGTTGTCATTCTATATTTAACAGTGAGGAAGTTTGGAGATCTGCTATTGGTAAAATCAAGATTGGTGAGCTTCATCAGATGACATGTTGGATAAAACAGAATCGAGCAAACGAAATTTACAATCTCAAGCTGAAGGTTCCACCCTTTATTTCCTACTAGTTCTAACCTTTATCAAAATGATAATGTGAACAGTATCGGATAGCTTGTAAATTAACCTTTGAGGCTGTTTTTGCTGCCTCACGTGGCAATGGGGTAAATCATCCCAATCTGCACTTTTATTCAAGCCAAATGGTTCTCCAAAAGGTAACATGAAACTAACTTTTCACTTACCACAATTGCTATTCCTGCATTTTTTTTATGGACTTCAAGTTGGATTTAGGAATCTTCAAGGCTCAATTTATTTTTATGACCTAAGTGATGAATTTTCTGTATAAAATAGTTGACACGAGTTTCATGCCTTCAGAACGTGAGTTACATTGATTTCTTGCCATAGAGAATCAGACCACAAGCTAACATACCGAATTTTTGCACAACTAGGAATGATTTATGTGATAATTTTGAAGTTTTAATTATGAGACCAAATGGAGTACATTCATATCTCATGTACTTGTTGATCAAGTATTAGAGCCCATGTTTTTTTGCTTGAAAACATTTCCTGTGTCTTAAAATAGGAAGCCATTGAACTGAAATTACTGAGACTGTTTTTTCGATGTGTCAAGCTTTTAATATTTGGTGATAGGATAACTTCAGGAAAGAAAACTGTGAAATGTTATACTGCAAGAGTTTGAACCCCACAAGATGCAGAGCAGGGTTATCGGTGCTTGAACAGGACTGTCTCCCTCGGTGAAGGCCCATCTCATTTCCCATCACATGGGTGGTGGGTACCCCTTCTACCAATGTCGCCATCTATTGATGGCAGAACAGTATGGAACTTGGTGTATCTATGCTGCAATGGCCCACTCTTTCCCACTGTACTACAAACTAGGCCTGTAGGTTCATAAATTAGATAAGGTTTACTGCTGTATAGGCAAGCAACTTAATTGCTTTCAAGCTGATCTAAGTGGTGCAGATTGGCCTCAGTTCACTTTTACTTGGTCCACATACACTTTAGGGACAATATATTGGCCTTGTATAAATAATTGAGACATGCATAATCATCACTGAACACTGCCATTTCATGTCTAATTCGTTGCTTTTGCCATCAACTATGATTGCTAGACTCGAGCTAAATATCCTTTATTAGCTCTATCATTATATTACTATTCTTAAATGGGGTAGTCCTGGCAAACCATTCTGGTGATTCATTTGCTGAGTTTTCACGTGTCCTGTGCCCAACAACAGTACCACAGTGACCAGTATGAAGGCAATGGTTGTACATGCAGCAACCATTTGTGGTCCAGTGTGGGTGAACTACTGCATCGTATTAAAAGCATATTATCTGCTTCTATGTTCAGTTCTGCATTTATTGTTTGGTTCAAAGTCAATGTAGGTCTGCTTAGGGTTTTCAATGATTGGTGCAACCACAACATGAATTTATCATCACACTCGCATTGGTAAAGTAACTACTTTACATCTATTTCAAGCTTCTTCTATGCTCTACTGGAGTAAGTCCTTCGAGATGCTCTTCTCTAAAAAGAAAGAGAAAGCTGGCAGAAATTTGTTGGTTAAGGGTCAACAATATCATTGCAGTTGAGGTTGTGATTTTTCTTATCCAGATCATTGCAATCATGTCATTTCTCACTGGTGGCCACCTAAATGATTATGTTCCTGGTTTGCATGCAAAAGAAGGGATTTAAAAAAAAAAATCTTTTAAAATATTTAATACTTGGCCCCTTATCTTGGTTTGCAGATTTAATACATTGGTTGGCTGAATTAAAAGGTAAACAGATGACACAAGTTGATGAATTAGCACCGGAATTCCAAGATCATATAGCAGGATTAGATGTAGTAGAGTTAAATGAACTAGACACTTCATTTTCAATCATTCAGGCTGGCCACATGTGAAACCAATAACTTTCCTACTGTTCTGGAGCATCATATGATGTATTGCAAGAGCACTACTATTTGGTATTGTTGTTATCAACCTCTACTAATCCAAAGGCTTGTAGATCAGACTTGAGGGCACCACCTTATGTTTAGATCCTTTTCCTTTTCTTCTTTTCTGGTTCTTTTGATCAGCATGGAGATAGATGATGGTAGTTGTTATAAGCTTTAATTTGTTCCTTCTTTCAGAGAACAAACTTTTGGTGTTAAGATTATTCTTTTGTAACTTGATTGATCGGAGTTTAAGGCACGAAAATGATCCCTTCTATTAGAAATTAAATTTGAGTATGTATCTCTTTTATATGTTTAGGAAGTAATGGGGCTGTAGCCAAGTTGCTGGCTGCAACTATTGAAGGATAACCTTTTTGTCCTTGTAGAGCTTATCGCTAGGGTTTTATCCCTCCATGCTTTCTCCTTATCATCCAGTGATAGTGGTTAGATGGTCGCATCAAGCTTCCCACGCTTCCTTTGCTATGTTCTGTAATTGATTATGGCGGCATCATCACACACATATGAAGGAGACATCACTTCAGCCTAGAAGTTATTGTCATTCAGTGTGAGTGAAGGATGATGAGCATGACTTGCTTCCTACATCATCTCCCATTATGTGCCCAAAGGACAGCCCTAGTCTTTTGTCTTTTCACAGAACTAGTCTCCTGTGCTACGTTTCATGAAACTGGAGTCTCTGTTTCATTTCAATAGCAAACATATAATTGGAATCCCAAAAGAACAAGAAATAGAAGATGAAGCATGAAAATGCAAAGTGAATAGATGCTGACGTTTTTGGAAGAATATAAAATGAAAAAAAGTAGAAGTCAGAAGTAAGTAGTAACTAAATTAGGTCTGGTTTTAGTGTTAGGGTTTTCTTTGTGTCCATATTGTACTGAGATTCCAGAGGTAATACATGTGTCAAACCATATAATTTTTTTTTTGTTTCTTTCTTGGTGTTGCTGCAAGGCTTTTTATCTTGTCACACAAACCAAACATAAATGGTCAAATTCTGAAGTAGTTTCTTTTGATGAAACACCTTAACATCTTGATCTCCAATGGCTCTCTCTCTCTCTCTCTTTTCCTTGGCTATATACCTCTTGGGAAAAGAGAGTGAGAAAACTTCTTGCCTTTTGCTCTTGGCTGTTTTGTTGCGATGTGCAACTTCAGGAAGCACATCACATGTCGTATGAATCCTGAAGGACCCTTGGATTTGTACATGCATACGAGGCTGCTCCTGTTTGCCAACTTGTTGTCCCCTTTCATCAATTACAAAGAGTGCAGCAAACCCCTTCCTGTCTTAAAAGTTCCCCATGTCGTGCCTTAAATCCCTTCTATCTCTACCATCCTTTTGATTGTCTCACAGCCAGTAGTACACCATCAGCCTTGTCTCTCACAGGTTAAAAGTCCTCAGATTTGGTTTTGATAGATGAAGATTTTGATGCCCCCATGATTGAAATTCAGTGCTTATTGGCCCCACGCATGTCTTCTTCCTCTTTAAACATTGTTGCATGCCCACTATAAGTACTGGTCATTTTTTCTATATCTTATCAGTTGATCAGGGTCTTCATCACAGATTTTTCTTCTCTTCAGTTTGGAGAACAATAAGTGAACATGGTCAATACTGAAGCATCTGAGCATGACTAGGAAAAGTGTGAAATGATATATGGTGTTTATGTACACTGTAAGAACATGCAGTCAGATGATTAAAAAGTACAAGTGAATTTATCTTGTTGCGCGTAAGTTTATATCTGATGCTATGTTGTGTAGTTTTTATATGGATCATGATAGCTTTACTTCAAAAAGAGAGAAGAAAAAGAAAATGATAGTAGCAGTAGAGGCAAGTAAATTCCTAGATTATCTTTCTTTCCTAAATTTCTTCTCTGAAATTTGCAGGACCCTCATTATGCTAGTCCCTACGGTTCCTTTTTTGATTTATCTGCCTAAGAAAGCTAATTCAAACACTAGTGCTGAAGGATTCAACACTTGCTAGCATCATCCAAATTGCTGCCTAAATTATTGAAGACGACAAAATTCACAAGGACCTCGTTGATGTCAGTGGGCTCCCATGCTGCAGTTGTTGCAAGTGAAATATGGATGAGATGTAAAAGGGACAGTGGGCTTCTCAGTTGTTTCTTCTGACGGACACTTGCTGTCTTTTTTTACCAACCAAAAGAGAGAGTGTGTGGGAGCAAAAGCTGAGCGCAGAAGGCCACATGAAATGTTGCTGAAAGGGAGAAACTGTAACAGCCCATTCCTCATCATTCTCACACATAGGATTAGCTTGTAAAGGCCAGGGATCTTGGCAAGAACTTAAGCCACCACTTTGTTTTATTCCATGCCTTTGGGGAGAAGGAAGGTGGAGTAAATCTGGAATCCTTATTCCCAATACCAGAGGCATCAACTCTCTCAGCTTCGATGGAGGACAAAGGCCTTTGTGGCCATGCATCACTTTTGTTTCCGAAAGCCAGTGCCCACCACAGATGGTGACATTTGCTTTTGCTAAAGAGGATGAGGTATGGAGGAGAGTGCAGCTGTGTTACTCCAACAATACTTTGCTGGCTAAAGCAGATCCTGCAACGAGGGAAACACACCAAGAACTTTCTTACAGTTTCTTTATACCAAATAGTGCAACATGCTCCCCTATTGGAAAGCCTTTATGGGCACTGAAACTGGTGCAGGAGTGGGGAAAGAGAAATCAGAAGCTTGTTCACCACTCTTTTGAGAATTCCTGTAGGTGCGCAGCCTCCTCTCTTTTCTGAGTTTGTAGACTTTTTTTTTTTTCTTCTTCTTTCTTTTTAATGTCAAAAGCAATTGGAAAAGCCTATGGAATAGGATGTCTGCTTGTTCTTTATACCTGGAAAATCATTAACATGGTTGATTGCTTTTGAGTGCATTAGGATCATGAGGTTAGTGAGCAGAAGCTACAACAAATGGAAACTTTTGAACTCCTCCTTCGTTGCTGGTATGACCCGCTTCCGGTGAGGCCAATCAATGCACTCTTACTCTGTGAATTCCTATGATTCCATGTGATTGCAGAATTGGAGTGAGAAACCAACAAAAAACCAGAATGTGGAATCAAGCAATTTTGATGCTTATAATTATTATGTACACCCACCCTTGAGATTTATGATACATCAACTTGCATCAAGTCAAAAGAGTCTGATTGTTCTATTGTGGCATTCCAATCATCCCTTTCTTAATCGATAAATCTTTTATGTCTTTCCATTATCTTGGATAGGTTATATGGATCTTTTTCTGAGATAATATATCTAAGAACAATCAACTTTCTTACATTCTTTTTGTAGTCTCGAAGAGATCTCAAGGCCCCATAATAAGATCTTTAGATAATAGAATGACAAATGCAATAAAACAATAAAAAATATTTGTCCCAAGAAAACAAACACTTACATGTTGAAATGATAGGTTTCGTGTTTTACTGAGTCCAAAAAATTTATATATATATATAAAAAAAGGAAAATTCCTCCGAATAAATAAATAATAATCAGCATAGTTGATGGTCCTCCGCTGCCAACGTTTCCAGAAGACCACGTTAACATAAAAGCACTTGTTGGGAACACCTGCACTGGGAAGAAGACCGAGCGCCGGGGGACACGTGGCAGAAAGTCGACGGATGCCGACAACATTCTGCCGCGATCGCCTTGATGTGATCCGATGGTAGACAGAGGTCGTGGAAAGTGAAACTTACACGGTCGGGGCGTTGCCACGTTTTGGGTCCACCAAATTACAAGGAACAATAATAATACTAGTAGTAATAATAATAATAGTAGTAATTAACGAGACTTTTGCCGCGGGTGTTGGTAGGCTCCGAGTGTGGATGACATCGATGACTTGATTAGGAGTAGGACCTAATAATGACACCCCAACTCAGCTTTCATGACAATTAAACTGTTCTTATTTGCTGTCATAAATCAATGGAGGAGGGATTTGATTGTGATGATTGAATAGAATCTTCACTAACCAAACGAATTAGTAATTTTATTCGAAATTTGTAGAATTAAAATGAGTTATTAAATATATTGAAGTTATTAAATTTATATGATAAATATTCAGATTCTTCGATAATAAATTGGAAGGAGTGATCGAGTCACTTGTGACGTGTAATTACGGAGGTAGACATGCTGAGCAGATGAAACGCAAGAGCAAGCTAAAGAACAGAGAAACCACAGCAAGATAAGAGAGAGAGAGAGAGAGAGAGAGAGAGAGAGATGTTAGCCAAGTCGAAACCGTGGATGCATGTGATCCCAACACTGGTTGAGTGTGAGATACCTACCGCCACCTTCACCTCCACTTGTCCGGGATTCAGAAGCTGGACAGACCACCACACTGTCGCTTTCCATGCCACGCTCCCTCCATCCCTCGCTCACCGTCATTGAGCCCAGAGGGAACTGTAGAAAGAGGAATCTCTACCCCCGCCTGCCTCTCCTGCATCATCTAAGCGAGGTTTGATGCATTATCCAATTCACTGTTCCACCACTTGCAATGATGCTAGCCTACCCTCTCTGGCTCTATATCTACACTTGTCCTTACCTCCATGTCAACTTACGTCTCTCTCTCTCTCTCTCTCTCTCTCTCTCTCTCTCTCTCTCTCTCATCCTATTCAAAGCTCAATGATTGAGACCATGCAAGGCAGTTGATGGCTGGGAAGACCACATAGGCCCTCTGTTCCTGGCGTTGCAGTCCTGTGCAAGACCTGCCTCGTCTTCGGCTCTCGAGATTTCTGCTTGGTTTTACCTCTCGGTTCATCACCTACCACCTTGTCCACTTGTTTTGTTAACCTCTTTTGAGATCCTACTGTTGCTCGATTCCATGGAACTCACACGGCTGTGATCTCTCTTTTGAGTTCGTGGAGGTGGTAGTCTCTGTGTCTTCTTCTTCCTTTGCCTGTGCTTGCTCTTCCTGTTCTCTGGGAATCGAACACTTTGCGTCGCCTTGCTCTTCTCGTCTTACCAGGAAAAGCTACTTCGTGGATCGAGCTGGAAGCAGAGAGAAGAGAGAAGCACGCCTGCTTCGATGGAATGGGATTACAAGATGCCTCCGTGGGATTTGGCAGAGCTGGAGCAGAGTGCGGAGCCCAGCATGGGCGCAGTGGTCGGGCCAAGTTGCAACCTCCGAAGCCAAGCTGAGGGAGCGGACTGCTCCGTCGATCTGAAGCTCGGGGGCTCACCGGAGAAATGGAAGAGCCAATCCAAGACGACGACGGCGGTGTCGTCCTCCAGCCCATCGAAGAGGGCTCGAGCACCGGGCGCCGGGAGCCAGAACGCGGCGTGCTCGGTCGACGGCTGCAACTCTGATCTCAGCAACTGCAGGGAGTATCACAGGCGCCACAAAGTCTGCGAAATCCACTCCAAGACTCCGATCGTCATGGTGGGCGGCGTGGAGCAGCGCTTCTGTCAGCAGTGCAGCAGGTAATGCATATAGAACAGGGCAACCTGCAAGCCGAATGGTAAAGCTCTCATTACATGCTTTGTTTCCTCATGGCCGACCCATCTTCTCGGATTCTGTGTGATGATGGTAAAAGCACCAGCTTCTCTTCTTCTAGGCTGCAAATGTTTGATTTGAGCAGTCTCCATAAGATGCCATGATTTCAGACGATCATGGAGAAGAGTTTCATCTTTTGTTCGTCTTCCTCTGCTACTTGTTGTTCTCACCTTATTTTCTAATGTATTCTGGCAAATCAAGTCTGCATCTTTCATTTGGTGATGCTCTATTTTGGTGTTGCTCTATTCTGGCACCTTATTTTTGCTCTATTTCATTTGGCAAATCAATTCTTCTTCTTCTAATCAATTCTTCTTTCTTCTTTCTTCCTTATCATTTTACTTTGTTCCATTTGCTTGCAAGGATTCTTCTTGTTTCCCTGTTGTATCATCTTTCTGATTCCAGGAGTATGCTTTGCTCCTGGTTTCTCTCTTTCTCTATTTTGTTCATCTTCTAGTAAATTTGTATTGATTTCAGCTCAATAATCAACCTTAGCATATTGATCAAATTTTCCAGGGTCCAACTATCCAACTTGAACATCTCAAGCTGTTCCAATTAAACATAACTTCTGCTATTTCTCTGTTGTGGAAAATTGATTTCAGACATCTATACCTTCTTCAGCATAATATTGTCTGCAGATTATATTTTTTCTGCCAAAGAAGTCATTCAGAAGTATATTTCTCTCTTTGAGCATCTTTTGCCTGATGATGCATACTGCACTACAAAGAAGTCCTCACCTTCTTTCCAATTCTTTGCTTTTGGCAAGCAGAATCAACTTAATACTTTTACCTTCTTCTTCCTTGAGTTTGTGATGCTATCACTTGCAAAATTGCTCTCTCTGGATTCTTTGGAGCAAAATAGGATCATAAAAGGGGGAAAACAGCATTCAAATTTCAATCATAACTCCACTGTCTTCTTCGTACTGTCATATAATATCAGAATAGAAACCGCAGTTATGTGGACTCACCTCCTCGAAAATTCGACACTTCATCCACAAAAACATTCCAATTCTTGTTCATCTGTTTGATTCCTTTTCCTCATCGTCGGCACCACACGATTGATGGTTTGATGATGCTAACAGGTTTCACTTGCTGATAGAGTTCGATGAGGTAAAACGAAGCTGCAGGAAACGTCTCGATGGCCACAACAGGCGCAGAAGGAAACCTCAACCAGAATCAGCTACTTCTGCTAACCTGTTTCCGATTCAACAAGGTATGAACTTTCTTAGATTTCTCCATTTTCGCGAACGAAAGGCCTGCTTTTTTGGTGAAATTTCTGTCATCTGAATCGATTTACTGGCTGGCTGTTTGGAAATCGGAGCACACAACATGCACTGATGCCCTAATTAGGGTTCTAAAGGCTTCAACTCGGCATGCAGGGACCAGGTTCTCAACCTGTGCATATATATCCCAAGCTCCTCTAACAGAGCCCAACTGGTCTGCCATTGTTAAAGCTGAGAAAGATGCACTGTACACCCATCACACCCCGCTGCATCTCATCGACAGCCAACACCACTTTCCTGGATCCTTTTCTTGCAGCTATAAAGAAAGGAAGCAGTTCCCTTTCTTACAAGATGGCAAAGCGGCATTCAGCAGAACAGCCGTCGAAGCATCAATATGTCAGCCACTCCTCAACACCGTTCCTTCAGTAGAAAGTAGTAGCAGCAGCAGCAGCAGCAAGCTTTTCTCTGATGGATTAACCCAAGCTATCAACTCCGAGTGTGCTCTCTCTCTTCTGTCATCACCAACTCAAACTTCGAGCATTAGTGTTGACCACATGTTGCCTACTAATAGGATTCCAGTGGGTCAGCCACTTGTTCCGAGTCTTCAGTACAGCAGTCTCAATCCCTACTCTGGTTCTCCAGCTTCAGGCAGTGTCTTGCCAACGGAGTTCTCTTGTTCAGGGGCTGAGGATGAGCAAGCAGGTGGAGTTCTGGTTTCTGATACTGATCTCCATTGCCAGGGAATGTTTCAGATAGGTGGCGAGGGTGCCAACGATGGAGCCTCCCCATCTCTACACTTTTCTTGGCAGTAGTAGTAGTAGTCCTGTAAATGGTATCAGTTCCTCGAGGGTTTGTACCGACTAAAACTCTTGTTTTGCTTTGTCCAAACATTGATGTTCTTGCTCACTTCTGACTTTGATGCTGAGGAGCTTTCTCAACATCTTTCCTGATGAAAGCAAATGGCAGTGATGTTTCTTGTTTTCAGTGTTTGCTTTGAAGGCCACCTCAAGCTTTTCTTCATTGGAGAAGGCACGCAACCCTACTTTTTTCCTCCTTTATTGTCTCATTTATGAAAGAACTCGAAATTAGTGGTATTTAAGTTTCATATATCCAGAATTTTCCATATATATATATATATATAGAAAATGTATTATTTGATTGATTTTTTATGAATAGCATGCTCTTTCTATAGTTCTTCCCTCTGCTTTTAAGTTTACCAAATGAACCATAATTAATGGTCTGATTTAGCTGATATATTCATATTTATCACATATGTATCTATCTATATCCCAAGTCATCATATCTGATGAATAACCAGTGTTCCAAGCATACCCAAACCCTTTTCCCCCTCATCATGCTCTGCTATGAGTGTCCAGATACTGGTAAAATTCATCTTCCAGTGATTCCTCAGGCATCCAATTTTGAATAGCTTGAAAGATGATAGCTAATCCCTCAATTCTGAAGTTAATAAGCAAATGCAGGTGCTAAGAATTATCAAAACTAGCTCTGAAACAATCTGAAACAATCAAATGCCACAAGGTCAGCAGTTGAGAGGACCAACATCAGCTCTCTACATTATGGTCAATCTTAAAAAAGGAAGGTGCTCAGGAAACAGTATGTAGTACATGCCCAAGATATTTCCTTCAATTATTGCAAGAACCAAAGAGAGTTGGAAGGTTTAGCTACTGAAACAAACAATAGAAAAGGAAGGCCAATTCAGCCATCAGAGAAAACTAACATTCATTGTTATGCATTCACCAGTGGACTCGAAAGCAAACTATCTGAAGTCTTTGATGACAAAAAATACACATCTAGTTTTTGCCATTGCTTATTGTACCTTCAGCTCCAACTAGACACTCATCTTTCAAATGGAAATGTTGAGGGCCCTTTTCATCTTCTCCACCTCTAAATAAACTGTGGAAGACGGAAGGAACTCGGAGAAATGGTTCTGCATCAGATCATTAATGGCCACAGCTAGTTTTGGAATATCTAGGATTTCTTCGTGGGTCAGCTTTCGAACAAAACGAGCTGGGTTGCCAGCCCAAATCTCGCCAGTTGGGATCCGACGACCAGGGGGAAGCACAGACCCGGCTTCGAGTATTGAATTGGTCTCTACCAGTGAACCCTCCATGAGAATGGAGTGCTGACCAATTATACATTCTGGCTCAATTGTGCATGACCGAAGGAGACTGTAAGCACCAATAGTGACATATCTGTCGATGGATGTTTCAGCAGGAAGTCCTGACACAGAAACATGCCGGAGATGGGATTTCCATAAAAATGTCAACCAATTCAACAATAAAGCAAAACCAGGAAGAAGGCAACATAACAATGAACTGAAATCTGTATTCAATTTCCTCATTTCAAGATAAACTAACAGTGATTTAGATTCCGCCAAGAAATTTGCGGCATGTTTGCAATGTCCTTAACATTGTTGATTGAGGTATATCCACCAAATATACACTAAAATGGTATATACACCTCTTGTATCTCAATCTGACCAAACACCCAGTATGCGATGTGGGCTAAATTGATTTATATTTTCTATTCAATAAATTTAATTAGTTTTGGGAGTTGGGTGGGGTGCCATATGACAACATGATATATATTTCTAATTTACTTTCCTAAATTGGTCAGGGAAACGAAAAAGGAAGTCAAACAAAACACTGGAAGAGGTCAAAAATTAGGCTTGAATGAGTATTCTAGAGCTTGATTGAAGATTTCATCCACACAAGTAGAAAATTGCTTGAAGAATCTAAAAATAAGAAAGTCTATGCCAACCAAATATTTTGTCAAAAAGGAAGATTATCTCATGAAAAAAGTTGAAACAAATCATCCCTAAAGAAAGTAAGATAATTGATCAGGCTTGAACTCGTGTCAAATTTTCTTACTGCAATAATAGCAACAAATAGCAATGTCCACAGTTAATTTGAGCCTAGCTCCTGTATGGAGCTCATCCTATTGGAGCCTTTAAACAACAAAGCACAATTTGTTAACAAGACAAATGACCATAGACAGGGACCTATCATGCAAACCATTGAAGTATTACTACAATCAACTAAAACAAGCCTTTGTTCCAGTATCTGGGATCAGATACATGAATCCTTTGCCACTTGTCTCTCTCCTATAGCAAATGTTATCTTTTTTTTTTCTGATTAAATCCCCATTATTCTTCTCTCTTACCCTACTGACAAGCTTGAATCAACCTGCCTACCCTTATATTCCAGAATGCAGATCTTGTACAAATATCACAGAACCACCTTATGCAATTTCGTTTATCTTATCCTTAACTCTTCTCTGTCATGCTAAATGCTAATTACCTGAGAGAAAGGCATTGGCTTTCTTTCATGCGTAGCCTCTGTCACAAAACAACAACATATAGTCCTACCTTTGACCTTCGATCGTGGATGTGTAGATACCATTGCCTTAGTCTCTTCATAGCACTAAGGTCAATACTTTAGTTCATTACTAGTGGCCAAACTTCCATGTATAGATATTTTCTCAGGCAACATAGTCCCCTGTATCTCACTTATCAGTCATAGATGGCCCTTGCAACTGCTGCTCGGGTTATCAAGCCATGTTTTAATACTTCAAACTGAACTGTTGCAACCTCAAATACATAATCTCCTTCTCTTACAGCACTAATTTTCTCAATTTTCTTCATTGGAAACAACCAACAGGATGTGAAAATGCAACATAAAATTTGCTTTCATGTGATTTTTGGAACACAAGACGGCTACAAACCTAAAGCTTTTCTTCACCAAAATCCAGCTTTCATTTAAGCAAGAAATTATTAGACTTCACAAACTATTATCATCATGCGATCCATTATTTGTAAGTAGACACAAAACTATCAATGATATGCATCCACAGGACAATTACAACAAGAATTTATTCCCACCAACACAAACCAGTGAGGCATAAAAGGCTTCAATTAGAAGAATTCCACCTTGATTATGGTTCTCAAACATGCTCAAAAGACCTTTGTTAAGATTATGGTTTGCAATATCGTACCATACCACTTGGTGCAGTACATTGGTACACCTTAGTGTATCATGTGTCAGTATGCTTGGTACAACTCGGTACATACCATACTGATAGCTAATCGGTACACCAGTACGGTATGATGTTCAGAACCTTGGTTAAGATTACGACAAGGGGTTAACTAAAGACCTAAAAGTGCCAGAAGTCAGTATATTTGGGGGAGAGAAAACATATGTAGTTACATATAAATATGTGATCTCTTTGTAAAAAAGGGTGGCCTATACATGAGGCACCTGGCTCCATCAATATAAGATAAAAAAAGGGTCAATGAGTGCAGTCATAGCTCTGTGAGCAGAAAGTCTGTCTTGATCACCAAAGGTTGCAAAAAGATGACCTTAACATAGCACCAAACATGCTTACATGATTAACAAAACAATATGAAGGAAAAGGATGGTGAAGCGCACAAGGCTCCCACAAACACAGGGTATAGGAAGGGTTAATATATATACAACTTTACCATTGTAGGTGAAAATGAACTCTATCATGTATGTTGTAAAATAGCAATTGAGGCGTGACACCAAGGCTTGCCCTTAACAATATGTAAAGTGATCAGATAATTCTGGCGAGTTTCCAGAAGGTAGAATTTGGAAACTTTTGATTCTATAATGTCATATAGATTAATCAACTATTAATAGATGCTACCAAAATAGCAATCTAGGAGAACCCTCAGTTAAGAAAATGAAAGTAATATCTGAAATCTATAACCAGAAACCTTCATGTTATTTAAAGAGATGTATAAAGTGTAGTTCCTCAATTAGGAACACATCTTTTAGTCCAGTAAACATATTGTTGATAATTGTTCAGGGTGCAAAAGGAAATTTCAAAATAGATCGCCCGGTTCTATTGGATATTCATATCCTATGTTAATTATACTTCATAAATCTAGCAGACAAAGCAATTTTTTTTGCAGCCATCAGATTTCGGTTGCTAATGTGATCAAATACTCTTTGACTTGGTTTGAGATCCAAAAAATTATTCGTTTTGAACAAGTTTAACCCAAACTATATTTGCCTGCCAAATCAAACACCTCTAAGATAAAAATAGATACCCTTATCTCCACCAGCTTTTCAGAGAAAAGCAACCTAGCCATCCAACAAACTGAGTTCAATCATCATATGAACTAAGTCGTCATCCATTTCCCGTTTCACTTAGTTGTTCCAACAAAACTTGGTGATCCTCATTTGCTTTATGGTGACCCTCAAATGTGTGTATGCCATGGCATCTCTTTTTCACCTATTATCATCGCATGATAAATCTCCCACATATAAGTCTAAGATAATCCACACCTAAACTTCTGACTATTCCAAGATCCAGCATAGAACAAAATAGTTAAAAAAATTTATCTCGCCAACATATGGAACCAAATTTCTATAAATCGATGTTATAGATATCCACAGTCGTGATGCATTCTAATAATAGCCCACAAAAAATATCATCTGTTATTGGCAGAATTGCTTCCTAATTGGTAAAGAAATGAAACAATTATAGAGCATACGTCATCAACTCGGATCAAGTTCCACTCAGTCGAAAGGATCAAACCTAAAAGTAATCAATCAGATAGGGCAGACGGCAAATTTAGATCGAGGAATTAGGGGACCTGTGGGAGACTTCCAGGCAGCGTGGAGAACGCAGCGCTCCTGGACGTTGGAACAGAACCCGACGGTGATCTTGTTCAGGTCGCCGCGGAGAACGGCACCGTTCCAGACGGAGGCGCCGTCGTAGACGGTGACCTGCCCGGCAAGGACGACGTTGGGGGCCACGTACGCATCGACGGCTATCGTGGGGACCCACTGCCCCAGGGGAATGATCCGCCGCTGCCCCCTGTAGTCCCACTTCACGCGATCCGACGCCGTCTGCGGCGGAGGCGCCACCGCCGCCGCCGCCGCCGCGGTGGCGTCGGCGGAGAGAAGGCGGTGGAGCGGGATAAGGCGGGGTCGAACGGCTAGGGTTCTTCGCGAGAGACGAGCGAGAGCTGCCGCCATTTCCAGGTCGTTCCACCGCAAGAGAGGACAGAGAGGAGCGGAGAGGGGGGAGGCAAAGGCGGAGTAAGGAATTGTGCTCGTGTGAGGTGTAGAAGTGAGGGGCTCCACACGTGCGTCATTTGAGCCGGAACGGTTTTATCGGCCCATCTTTATAATGGAAATGGTATGTGCCCATGGAATTTATTTGGGCCGGGCCGGGTCCGATTTGGAATCGAGGAGGCTTTTAATTACTGAATTCTCCCCGTCATCACCACCGTTGAGACGCCCACATTTAAGTAGCCGATCCTGCAATTTCCACCGCCTCTTCTCTGCACGTCGTCACTCTTCCCCTCCGCCTAAGATCCTAAACCTAACCAGCGGCCTCTCCTCTCCCCTTCCGAGCTCGCCCGCCAATGGCAACCATCCTTTCCGCTCCCACTCCATCTTCCCCAAGTCCCTCGCCGCCGCCCCCTTGCTCCGCTCCATCTCCGCCTTCCCTTTCCTCTCCCAGGAGCCCGAGCTACAGGAACCACCGCCTCCGACTCTCCCACAGCTGCCCCGCTCCCCTCAACCCCGCCACTGGGAGCCCCTTCTACCAAGAGAACTGGCGGAACCTGACCCCCGCACCCGGTGTCGGTCCTTTCGTCGGCGGCCGGTCGCTCGTCCCCATGGGACTCCCCGCGACAGCCCGGACGATGGCCTTCTCCCAGACCCTCGATGTATCCAGCCTCATGAACGTCTTCGCTGACTGGATGACGTCGCAGCGCTGGTCCGATCTCAAGCAGCTGTTCGAGTTCTAGATCCGCTCACCGGACGCCTCCGGCGAGCCCAATAAGCCCGACGTTCATCTCTTCAATCACTACCTCAGGGCTAATCTGATGATGGGGAGCCTTTGCATCTGGTGCCTCAGATGCAGGAGTACCAGATTGCGCCCAACACGGCATCATATAACTTGGTGCTGAAGGCTATGTTTCAGGCGCGGGAGAGTGAGGAAGCGGAGAAGTTGGTTGACCGGTAATTTTGTAGGATAAAAATGCATAGTATTCTTCATTTTGTAATCATTTTTTGGGCAATTCATTATTTTGTTAGGTCAGTTTCATATTATGTTTGGGTGGTTGATTCCAACAATGTAGATAAGTTGATAGAGAGACTTATGCATCTGCCTAAGAAGCAATCTAAAAGGAAATACCTGCGCCAGCAATAAATGGCCTATGAATTGGACATAGAAATTAAAAATGACCATTGTTTGGTGTCCTATTGAAGAAAATGAACCAGAGCTTATGTTTCCAATGTCAACGATTTGAACTTTAGATTTTTTCGATCTTCTTAACCAAATTCAATTCCTCTTGTATGGTGCAACTAGACAATATTGAAATGTAGAACATTTATGTTATAACATGGGGGGAAATTTTGGGATATTTAGACTGATATACTGATATAAATTGATTCATCAGATTTGTGAATACAGAAAACAGATTGTACATTGTGGAGCCTGATCTTTAAACTTGGTAGCAAATCTAATAGTGTTGGTAAACCTTTTGCGGCAGTAAAGATACAGGTTTTCTATCCGTCTGTTCTCTTTAGCTCTATTTTCTGATATCTTGTGACTGCATCCCTTAGTTCTACTTCCTTATATCTTGTTCCCACTAATCTCTTGGGGTATTGCACATGACAGACAAACAGACAACCAAGGCCCTCATCATGTGTGTAAATTTAATGATGGAGGTCCATACTCACAATCCTATGTAGTATAATGTTATCACTATATTAATGATAATTGGCAACTAGGGACAATTTGGGTCTTGATGGTTAAATTGGGAATTGATGTGACTCACTAAAAGCTTGTAGGGATGTTTTTATAATATTGAAATGGCAGGTAATTGTTCCATTGTCAATATTATATTTACTAATACAATTGTAACTGCATTCTTAAGCTTTTTTTATTCAGAAGGTGACCTATTTCCTTCAGACAGCAGAAATGGAATTTAGACCTTTCCATTTTTCTGTAGCATGTGCATTTATTGCTTTGAAATGATTGCTTATTGATTGACTTCAGGATGCTGCAAACAGGCACTATGCCAGATGATGTATCATACAATATGGTTGTAGGCCTTTTAATCCTAATGAATGAGATAGATTCTGCCTTCAAGTATATGGATTTGATAATAAAGTCTGGTTTTATGATATCAACAATTGTCTTTATGGATTGTGTACGGAGTTGTGTGAATGCTGGAAACTCTGGCATCCATCATAGAGAAATGCAAGGTATTGACCAAGTTTTCCAAATGTGTAATTAGTTATGTTGTCACTTATGGCCATTGACTGCCATATTTTTCTGTACTGTTGCATTTTGAAGTCCCGATCCTTATCTTTCACAATGTAAATAACATTTAGTTATTTCTGTTTTATCTTCATCTTTGGGTTTTATAATTTTGATTTGGTTTTTCCTTCAGACAACAGATCAAAACAAAGCCCTATGCCCAAGCTGGAATTTGTGTAACTATGTTGCAGATGTTGCTTTGCAAACAGATCATATCAAATTGGTTTATTTCTCCTTGGAATTTCTGGCTCGATGGATTGCTTGTGGTGAAAACGCTAGACCACCATTTCTTCTTTCAGCAGAGGAAGGCTTAGTTGTCTCAGCAGTTGGCACTGCAGGTAGAACATGCAACTCTACCCATTTAGATGCTGCTCGGTCAATCTTGCAACGATCATTGCAACAAAAAAGGGCCCCAAGTCCAGAGACTTACCTTGCAAAGATATATGCACATGCATCACTAGGACAACTACAATGTGCTTTTGCTACCCTCAATGAATCTGAAACCATGTATGAGAATTCTGAAGTTGATCAGGAGCTGTTTTCTCCTTTTACATCTGTATACCCACTAGTCGTTGCTTGCTGCAAGAATGGCTTCTCAACTTTGGATTCGGTATGGCCACAACCTATTTCAAATCGAATACCATGCCCTTACATGTGGCATACATTTCACAAAGCAAGCATAATTATTGAATATGTACTACTGGTACGCAATAGTTCACGATTTGGTGAGCCAGTAAGTCTGTAAGTTACACCTGAATAGAAAGGTTTCACTGTCTTGGTTCTGGCATTACTACTTTTATCTTCATCTTACAATTGAGTTGAGTTATAGGGTGGTTTTCATCGAGTATTATGGCATTACAACTTTTGTCTTCATCTTACCATTGAGTTGAGTTAGATTATGGTTTTCACTGGGGATTACAAAATTACAACTTTTGTCTTCATCTTACCATTGAGTTTTGGGCAACTGATTTAATTTAGTTTGTAGGCTATCAAAATTATATACTCTTAAAACATTAGTCATGCAATGCATGCTGTTATTATTGGCAACAGTAGATGACCTTCTTGTTGTTCCTGAAAATACCAGTCAGGTGTACATTCAGTTGGAGAATTTGAGCCATGCACACCCCCTTTACAAGTCTGTTGCTGCTCTCAACTGTGTGATCTTAGGTTGTGCAAGCATATGGGATCTTGATCTAGCATATGAGACTTTTGAGGCCATCAGTGAAAAGATCGGAATGACACCTGATGTTCATTCTTATAATGCTTTGATGTGTGTGTTTGGAAAGCTTAGAAAGGTTACTTATCTTGCATAGTGCTTCAATATCTTTTTATTCCTTTGTGATTGTCATTGTTCCTCTTTTATGTTTGAGGAAATGAAGAAATGTTCATTTGGCAGACCACTGAAGCTTGCAAAGTGTTTGAGCATTTAGTGAGGTTGGGCGTGAAACCAAATGTAACAACATATTCATTGCTTGTTGATGCTCATCTTGTCATTCGAGATTCAAAAACTGCTCTGTCAGTAATCGATGATATGGTATGACCCATCTTTTCATACCCTACTGACTGTTGTGTTAATTTGAACTTCAATAAGGTAACGACAATTTGGTCTTTGGATTATTGCTTATCTTTCAGGTCGAGGCAGGTTTTACTCCAAAGGAAACACGAAAAAAGGTCCAAAGATGCTGTTCACAAGAATTAGATTTTGATAGTGATGAAAGGGTACAATCTCTTGCTCAAAGATTCAAGTATAAAATGGGTGGTGAATTACGTCGAGAGATGCTTTATAATCTGGAGTACAGCAGTATGAGGTATCCTTCACTCTTCCAGATCTAGAATCATGCAGTGGTTGCTTGAGCAGTTTATGTCAGCATCAAGTTCATGAGCTTAATCTTTCTATACTCATCTTTGTTGCTGGCAGATCTTTTGTGACCGCTGCTTGTGTATTAGCTCAAGTGCAGAATTATAACTTGGATTTCTTTTGAATTTACCAGGTTTCTTGCTGGACAGGTTTCTTGGCTGGTTGAGGAAAAGAGCAGCATGTAAATTTCTTGCTTGTAATTTATTTTTACTGAAAAGCTAAAAAGTGGGATCACCAACCAACTTGTTATCAATATGTTTTCCTTCATTCGATTCCCTTTTAACTTTAATAACTTTCATTGTCTCATAATAAGCTTTTTAACTTGCATGATCATATTGTGGTTAGCTGCACTTTGTTTTCCTGTTATTTTTATGGATTTAGACAAATCCATTTTTATTTAAATCATTAATCACCATGTGAGATGGTGCATCAGAAGCAAATAGATTGAACTTGGTCTGAGAACTCCAGCTTGATGGCTAATAATGTGTTATTGTCATAGCTTGTTACATTGCTTTCAGTTGGATGGGCGTCTATTCTGCCTCAGTAAAGGGGCCCAGTTGGTGCTGGTGGATCACAATGAGCTGCTGTCTTTCTTCTCTATTGCAGTTCAATTGGGAGAGCCCAATTCCGACTACAACTGGGTGTACACAAGCCCAAAAAGAAAAGGTATTCTAACTTATCACAAACTTAATTTGGGTTTTTATTTTCTATGCATTGCCATTCTAAACTTGGTTAATGGTTATTTTAATTCGATATAAGTGAATTAGGCAGGCATAGATTCAACTTCTTGACCTCAGAAGTATTTATCTATTTAGTTCTTCCATTAAAAAGTATGGGGTTATTAATTGTTATTTCATTTGATGCCGAGTAATTAACAGACATATTAATTGAGAACAACATTATTGTAGTTTTTA